TAATCAAAACTCTGTTCTGCGGGCAGAGAGAAAGTTTATAGTGAAGACTAAATCCTTCATGGACGGAAGTTCTTACAAATAAAAAGGTAGCGTTCCTTTTTTGATGCCAGGGGTTGAAGTTTCATGTCGCTGACTGAATCAGCGAACCATTCATATCCATAAGCTATGCACAGTTTCATCTAAATGCGGATCGATTCCCCACATAAATTTAATGTTTGGCAATAGTTTTAGGCCATGGACCTTAATCTCATCGGCACTAATTAGCCAAGGTAGTCCACGTTTTAGTCATAAAGCATGTTATGACAAAAAGATGTCATAAAAAAGTGGAAATTTTGGTGCTTCTGAGGCAAGTATCAAGCTCTGATTTAGGTGTCAAGAGATGTTAGAAATAGCTGATATAACTGCATGGATTAATGTTATCATCTAAAGGAGCTTTTTCACAGCAGTCTAATTTAGTCTCCCCTATTACTCCCCCTTAACTCACTTCGGAACGTACCTTCAACGAAGAAATTATTTGTAAAAGACAAAATCACACCTTCCTGACAAACAAATTTGTCGCCCAAGCATTATAATTGTTTATTTACACTTATAAACAACAGAGATAAAAAAAAAAACAAACTGGTACACCGTAATGTTTAGGGAGTTATTAGAACTCCAAAAATGGACTAAAACTTTTAGGTGCAGGATTACCCCTTTTTGGGGTTACTCCAAATTCGGGGTCATTTTTACTCCGGAAAAAGAGTTCTTTTTACTCCCAGTCTGGAGTTAAAATAACTCCGAAAAAGGGGTTATTTTTACTCCTTTTATGGGTTATTTTTACTCCTTTTGGACTTAATTTCGCTCTGAAAGTGGAGTAAAAATTTTACATACAAGATAACTCCTTTTTGGGGCTTATTTTACCTCCTCAATATCTGGGGTCATTTTTACTCCTGAAAAAGAGTTCTTTAAACTCCTTTTTGGAGTTAAAATAACTCCCCAAAAAATAACTCCACTGTAAGGAGTTAGACTAACCCCACTAGAGGAGTTATTATAACTCCTTAATAATTACTGTGTAGAGTGAGGAAAACTAGTTTTCTAAAATTTCGATTGTAATCCCTTCCTCATTTTTTTCTCTTTTTGTGTTTGTCACGGCAGTCCAGTTCATTTTGTTTAATTTTGCTAATTACTCGCCCTTCATCGCTTTGAAACTTTAAGTAAGCAAAGAAATTTCATGTAAACGACAAAATCAGAGATTCGAGACAAACCAATATGTCTCCTGAGCATTATTTTTGAAGTTGCATACAGTCAGTGGAGATCAACTTTGAAAAAATGTTAGACTGAACAGTTTTCAAAAACTCTAATTTAAATCCGTTTCAGTCTTCTTCAGTTTTGCCCATACGTGACATCCGGTTGTATCTGTTGTGTTATTTTTCCCTTCCTTTAACGTTTTAAGCGGTTATTTTTATGTTTCTCTTAATTTAAAGTGGAACTTTGGAATTACCTAATTTGGCTGAATTTCGTGACACAGCTCCTTTAAAGCTTCCACTGTCTGAATTTGGCTAGATTCGTGTCACAGCTCTTTTTGATGACCAAAGAAAGTAAGATAGCATGACAACAAACCTTTACTTCTTCATTCAAATTTGTCACCTCCCACGTGGCTACTTTATGAGAGTCTTTCAGAAGTCTTGTGGTGCCGGTATTGCCATACGCAAAGAGCAAATCCATAAACGCTGCCTCGTTTACAAGCGTTGGAGTTCCAAATGTGTTTGGGACAGTTATTTCCCTGCAATGAAACTTCAGCATTTGATGCAGAGGATGCTGGGATGAAAAGGTCCGTTTTAGTATAACACAAAATGGCTCCATCAGATAGTGAGTCTTGAAAAGAAAAATTTCAAGAAAGATAGCGTTTATTATTATCATTATCATTATCATTATTTGAAGAGTCTTAAGAAAAGACATATATGAAATATGTACAGCACTTTAATATTAATATCATCACCTTTGCGAGGTGCTCCACGATTTGTGCGTAGCCGAGATCTGTGATTTGGACATTGAGCTTAGCCAGCATCCAGTTGCCGCCATCTTCAGGAGTGTACACCGCAGAATCTGAAGAAAACAGTCTCAAGTAGTTTAAAGCTTGGGACTAAGGCGTTTACTTGTCGAAAATGAATTATTGGCTGTAACTTTGGCATAGATGATAACGCTAAACCAAAATTTGACACACATAAAGAACTCATCGTCCTTAACATTTTAAAGTGTAAACATTGCGTTAATAAGTCACGTGATATGTCACGTGAACATTTTGCTGAAAATCGTAAACTATTGACGAATTGGTGGCCGGTTTAAGAAAAGAAATCGGGAAAAAAATAGTTCTAATTCATATTAAATATTTCTAACACTTCACGTTTGGAATGACCGTCCAGTGCACTTCAATAATAAATTATGAGGGAAAACATCATTTTAAATGCCCAAATTTTAATCTTGAATAATTTAAAACTTCCATTTTAAACTTCGCGTACATTCATTCCAAACGTAGAAAGTTAGGTATGTTTATTCTCTTTCAGAAATACCAATTTTTTTTATTGAAACGAAGTAAATTCGCCACCAATTCGCTAATTTCCTTCATTTTTAATTTTTGGTCACGTGACCATAAATCAACGTTAAGGCACAAAAAATCCTCAAGATTTACTCTTGGGAAAAGTTCATTTTGTTCTAGGTCTCCAAGCGAGAGACATTGCCAATTGTTCATATGCTCAGAACACATCTTTGACCCAGGCCTTTAAAACCACTTGAGGTATTACTACATAAGTTGACCCCACTGGCATGCTGTCACATTGCTAAACAGATAATGAAGATGTACTTGAGTCTATTAGACCCTTCTACGTTTTTGGCTTTCAACATAGATCCACATTGCTGGAAAACATGCCTTAAAATCAATAAAGGTGCCAAGTTCAAAAGAGATGTGTAGAACCTGACGAACATATGGTTTCGTGTGGCAAATTTGCGTACAGTTGTTATTAAGATTTTTCGACTTTGTGGAACTGTATCTTCCCAAGTCTAATTTTTAGGTCCTGTTTATCCTTGTTTTTCGAAAGACATTCACTAACTGGTCCTTGAAAACTAAAATAAAATCTATTGGAAGAAAGTAATAGAGTGATATTGTTTTAAGTGAAATAAAGGTTTAGAGTTTAATGTTTGAGTTTCCTATTCAAAAGAGATAGATAATAAAGATGGCTGGGAAGCCTTCCGAAAACTGGTATAACAGGTAGCTCTCCTGGCCTCTGAGCACTAAGCCAAACCCATCATTTATTACGTAGTAAACCTGCATGCGCTGCAATTTCAACTACATAAATATATTAAATGAATGTAACTTTGTAAAACGTCAGTGATTTAGCCTCGTTAAGACTAGTTTCGCAAACCAATTGTAAAACTGATGTAAAATACCGTGTTAACGTATCTGTTCCCCGTATTGAAGGACAATTTTGGCAGATATCTACCAATTACATTTAGTTATGTGCAACAGAGAATGAGCTATTTTCTAGCTCTTGTTATGTACTTTGGCATTCTCAATCAGTCACATGTATTTAGCATTTTACCTGGTTTATAATCCATTTGAATGGCCACAGGAACAAGCTCATTTTTGCCGTATTTATTCCCCTTAGACGCAAACAAGGCGATAGGAGACAGAAAGTTCCACATTTTTCTTCGAGGATCTCTATCAGTAAGATCTGGTGATCTTGCCATGTCGTCACACATCTCATATCGTAGAGCGTAAATGCGGCCCTGATCTATAGCCTGCAAAGCAAAAAAGTGGAACCGTCGTTCGAATTTCTTGAACGAAATAAATACCTAGTGCAACTGCCTGGCTGGAAATAAGCCCACTCTGGTCAAGCAGCAAAAAAGTGACTGTCTTTTACGCCTATAGCTAAATACAAGCAGAGTAATTATATATTATTCTCCCACGTTTTTAATTTGTCATGCAACACAAGGCTTATTAGGTTATGTATTGTTTGATAATGAACAGGCGCGGAGTTTTCTATGTAGCCTTGATGCAACTATGGCTATTTAAAGGGCGCAAATGAAATCGATCGGTTTATTCCTTCGATACAAGGTGGGATGTTTAGTTTTTATTTATTTATTTATTTATTCCGAGCGAAGCGAGGCACGAAGCGCTTCGCAAAGAGAGTTTATAATCTCGTAGCGCGCGAAGTACAGTACAGTATCTTTATTACAACTCCACTACGTAGCTCTTCCTATTTAATTTACAAAATGGAACAAAGAATGAATAATAATAATAATGTTAGTAATAAATGGGAAAATAGGAATAAAATTAAATTAAGAAAGGCACGCAGTGCGTGGACAGTGCGTGGATCAAAGGGAGCTGCAAACTCGCAGCGCACATCTATACTTGTAGTAATATATCCGATGGTGGCCGCCATGACCTCATACAGTAGTTTGACGTCACGGCGCATTTTTTCTTACTAGGCAATGCAACATGACCATAAGGGCTGATGTGTTTATTCATCGTCTGCGAAAAAACGTTTACGATCGGTGAATCACGAACAATTTCCCTGGCACAGAACAGCAAGCACAGCACTCAGAGGTGGCGGGAAATCCTCCACGGCGAAGATTTTCCACCGTAACTCCTCTGAAGAACGCTGATTAAATCTATCGCGAGCGGAGTAGACGACGACAACAACAAAGCGCGAAGCAGAGAGAACATCGCTTAGCACCGCGAAGGCAACGTCGTCAACACCGCGACCACAAACATGTACAGAGGTAGCGACAAAATACTACAATTACACTGCAAACAAACCGGTGAAGAGAGGGAACACGGAGTGCCAACGCTTCAAAAAGCGATGAGGAGATCAGGCAACGCTTGAAGTTTACAATCAACGATAGGCAGCAAGAGTTACACGATCTGTACAATGCACGTCAAGAATACCTTTCCAACGGACTGAAGACAGCCGATCAGTCTTTAAACCATGAGCAACGATGGGTTTTACAGTAAGCTTTATTTTAGAACAATGAATATGTGTGACATGTAGGGAAGCGTTACATTTGTTAAAATCATTTTCGTTTACAATTTTCGTTACATTTACTTCCCTAAAACTATCCTAAGTAAAATGTGAATCTATGTTTAGCAGCCTTATACATAAACACAGCTGTGATTTAAGTCAAACATAGCGCTGGCCTCCTATTGTCGATCCTATTTAATATTCCAAAGGAACATCGGTATTTCGAATCTCCTCTCAATATCAGTGTGTGACATGTGTTACCATGCCAGGAAAATAAATTCTTTTCCCCTTACGGGACAATTTAACAAGTCAAGGATTTTCAGGATTAGTCAGGGAAAATTTAACTCTTTCAAAAAAGTCAGAGGGAGTTGACATATTCCTGCATATTCACTGAAGCTAAACATGTTCCATTGGCAGAAGCTGACTTGTATGTGGACATTTCCTACAAATTCACTCCTCCATGGGTATTTGTTTCTCACGCATGTACACAAATAACTATGAACACTTTTATAAATGATTTGGTCCTTTTTACAGAGATGACTCGTTGCTAATGAGGGTACCGCATAAGAGTAATCATCATGAGTCTTGATCACTTTCATAATTCTCCTCAACTGCATCCTTAATCATGGAGACATTGCTACATGTAATTTCTATTTTAGTGTAAGCGATTATAAGATTTGTACCTTACTGTTGCAAGCAGTAGTTATTAGTTGTCAATTGTTATTAGTTGTCAATTGTGCTTATGTACTACAACAAGTGTAAACAGTGTCATTGCTGTAGTTCACTTCAAGAAAATCCTTTTTTAACGAAAGAGCACTGGGTTCAAATTTACCCTAACAAAAAGGAGATTAACTACATCTCACCTTCCAGTATTAGAGCCAGTGTTGAAACCCGCCCTTCCAAGCTACACAATTTGCTCCAATTCTCTCCCCCTTCCCACACCTGACATTTTATAGGCCGCCCCCCCACCCCCGAGCCTCGCGAGGTTCTGCGATACACGTATTTCTAGTTTATTGTATTTTATCGATAAAGTGGGAGCAGTCGTTACGTTTCACCAGATTTAACAAAATGATTTAATTTCATTTGTATTAATTGTCTACTTGCATTGTTGATCAACTTCCTATTTGCGCAGTATTGCTTAGACGATCATTTGAGCCAGTACTACATTTCCAGTCGTCAAATGTTATCTAGTTAAACTTTTCCATAAAGTAAAATTCCATCCAGTGTAGGAAATGAAATTGCAAATTATAAATAAAATTATTATTATTATTATTATTATTATTATTATTATTATTATTATTATTATTATTATTAATCTCAAAGTATTAGGACTATCCATACCGATTCTAAAGAGTCGTCTGTATCCAGAGCTGCTTGAACGGCTTTTTGCCATTCAAAGGTGGGATTCAATGTTGCCTTTAGTTCCTTCCAATCAAGTCCTATTGGTCCTAATAAGGATAAGACTACAATGGTAAGGTAACGCATAAAATATCTTTTTTTCTTTTAAAGTAGCTAGTAAGTAGAAGTAATCGAAGATTAGTTACTGCGTTCGAGTGTTTGCCATTAAAATTTAGCTGGCAGATAAAGTTCAAAAATGTTAAGCTGAATCGAAGTTTTTACGATTCAGTGATCTATGCGGACTAGTTGAATCGGGCTTCTGATCCACCGGGTCATTTTTTATAAGACCGAAGTATCAGCAGTATCTTCAGTGCTTTTATATATTTTTAATATCTCAAACGATTGCAATACAAACGTTGTGGTAATATAAAACGATGAAGTGAGAACTCAAACAAATATAATTTCAAAAGCAAGGAATTCAAATGCCTTTAAATCTGTTTAGGTAAGAATTCCGGCCTTGGTAACTTGTAAATCCTGGCAAGTTTAAATTGCTCCTGGAACTCCAAGAATGAGCGATCAGGTTTTGGCGCGAGTTTTGGATCGATCGCAACCGTTTAGTGTACCTACCACGCTGCTCTCCTCTCTTCTCTTCTTTCCCTGCAAAGAACAAAACCAAAATCAGTTGAAGAGTGTCTTTGTCTCAATGAGGTGATGGCTAATTTACGGATAACGGTTTAATTTTTAATTTGTTTTATTTCATTTAATTTCATTTCCTTACATTTTACTTAGCTCACCAATAATAGAACCAAGTAGATCGAGTGTCAAAAATAATCCAAGTGGCAACTGAACTCTTTTCTCATGTAAACTGAAGGGGTTTTTTTGTTCGCAGAAATTTGCATAGCCACTGATCACGATCACGAAAAGTGAAATCGACCTACAGTTTGGCAGATTTTTTTCCACCACTGACTGTAATTATAATTAAACAGGGACAATTTTTTTTTGACACTTTTTAAGGGGACTAGGTTAGAAGTTAAGTATCAGCAAAGTCACAACCTCAGGGTACTTTAAAACCATTTTTGGCTAATACGTGAAAAGTTTAGGTAGATTAGCAAAAACGTAAATGGAGAGCCATCTTTTAGCGCAAACCTAGGGAAAAGATATGCGTCTTCCGCGAGGGTTTACCTTTGCAATTTCCCCATTTGCCTCTGTAGTTTTTTGTAGTTGAGCACCACGGTAGAATGTGATCATCTTTAGTGCACTTCGTATATTTCTTTCCATAATAGGTAAATGGAAAATGGCACCATTCACCTTTTGTGGTCTTGACACTGCAGTCCTCGCCGACTGAAAGCACGGGAAAAAGGCTTTCGTATAAGATATGTTAATTGTGCCCCCTTTTATACCCTAAATTTCGGGGTCATCCACTCGAGCTTTGTTTGCAAGAGCGCTTAAAGAAATGAGCAACAACGAAGTACTTGGGTAAAATTTTGGCCACGTAAGATGGCAAAGTTGAAGGCTCGAGAAAAAGGTACCCAACGTAAGATGAAAGTACCATTAAGAATTGAACTGAGGCGGAGGAAGGGAGGAGAAGGGTCAAATGCGCAGAGCGTGTTAAGTCTGGAGACCAAGAGGACGACTTTGAGGAACACAGCTTGTCTCATATATATACCCTAACCTTAAATGAAGTTGCGGCTACAAGGAGGCAGCGTGGCCGAGTGGTCAGCGCGTTGGACTCGTAATCCCTCGTTCGCAGGTTCGGTTCTCTGTCTTCCTGACTTCAAATCCTCAGCTACGCTTGTAAGTAGACAACCGGTTGCCTCCCGCCAGTTAGGGTTTTTAATCCTGTTATGTTATGTTTAAATTATTTGTTTCTAAGTATTTGAGTGGAGTGCCTGTAAACTAGCTGGATAAGCTAAGTGCACTTTCCACTATAAACAAGCCTTTAAACCTTTTTTCTTTTAATTACTTTTCCAGACAAACTCGTGACAAGAGTGAGCGAGCTAGCTCCTCTTTTGCTCCTGACTAGTAGTTTTACAGCTGTAGTAATACTCTGGCAAGTAACATCCCAGTTAGTGATTTTCCGGCTAGTAATTGTCCGAGTTATCTTGTGATATTCTTTTGATCAATAATTTGGACCCTGCAAACAGCCCGTCCCTGCTGAATAACATATGTTGAAGCTGAATTGGTGAAGAGGAGTCAGTGCCCTTCCCAGCAAACTAATAAAACTCATTCAGTGACTAAGAGACATATTAAACATTTTTTATTTGTAGGCAAACAAATTCCTGTCAAACATGGCTTTCGAATAAAATAGAAATATTTAGAGTACTACATTTTTTGAGCCAATAATATACTTGGTAGTATCAACAAATACTTGATGAAAAGGAAGAAGCACAGTACAGCGGCACAAAACGGCGGTTTCCTCCTAAATGCATTGAACACACTTTTTAGGCTATCCAGAGTACTTCAGTTTAGATCTCTAGAAATGCATTCCAAGCAGCGCTATAAAATTTGTATCTGTTTTGTAATCCTAGGGCAACTTGAATCTTTTCGAAATTACAAGCACTTGAGTATTATTTTCCCGAAAATTTTAGATGCAATTTGACGTATTACGAAAGTGATAAATTTTGTGATTCCTCTCTCCATCACATTTTTTAATCCGAAAATTTTTGGTTTCCCTTTTTGTACGAAAAATAGCCTAACTTGGGAAGTGAAATGTGAAAATTAAACTTCAGAAAATTGTAGGGAATTTATTAATTAGATAAGCTTAGAAAATTTTACATGAATGGAACGGTCGTCTAGAACTTTTAGCCAGTCTCTAGCCCTCCTCAGGTAATAGAAAATTCAAGGCAATGTTTGTTTTTCCGAACAGTTATTTTACAGAAAACATTCGTTGGGTGCCCCTAACAGTATGGCTCAGTAGAATGAGGCACACGATTATTTTGGGACACCTGCTTGGTTTGTAATTCTATTTATTAGCACTTACCACTAACTAATAAAATAAACAAATTGAACTTACCCATTTCCTGTTCTTCATTACCTAAAGAAGAGGGAGATATGAAATACAAAGTGAGTAGCAACGAATAAAAAATAGAGTAACAATTAACAACGTTTCTTTTGTTACCTTGACAGTTTCCCCATCTTCCAAAATTACTTTTGGAGATATATTTCGGACTCGTTGAACACCAACGTCTATGATAGTCTTTAGTTGTACACTTGTGATAGACTTTACCACGATAAGTAAACGGGAAATGGCACCATCTTCCGTCAGTGGTTTTTACTGTGCATTGCCTCTTTACTACACGAAATAAATAAATTAAGGTAACATTATAATATATGTGTTATTGTGCATGCGAATAAGATTACGATAACCTTGATATTGGTCAAGCTCGGTTTTTTGCGTCTTTAAAGGACCGATCCAGTTGTGGTCAATAAGAAATTTGCAAAAAAAGAAGAACGAGGACAATATCTTGCCATTTTGACCTGTCAAGCTTGATTAATGAAGGGTGTATGATGGTAAACAGAACTAAACAGATCTTTTTTTCTCCAGTTGTGGGACAAAAGCGGGAGTTCTCCAGCGGATGAGATGGATCTATCTTGCCTGCTTGGAGAAACGATCAAACATGACCTGATTTTACAGACGACGGATAAATTTTGAATTCCTTCTTTGTTTCAACAACCGAGTCAGATCGATTGAGCGAGTTTAAAGAAATAGAACCCGATCATTCCATTTATTGCAATACCTAACTCCTAACTGAAAAGTCTCCGAGTACCATTTATTTTGCTAAAATAGGATGTCCTGTATAATACGTTCCTTATAAAGTTATTTTTTAATTTTAACTCCAAAAAAGTTTAAAGAACTCTTTTGTTGTAAAAGTAAAGTCTAACCCCAAAAAAGGAGTTATCCTGTACCTAAAATTTTTACCATTTAGTTTTTGCTAAAGTAGCCCCATTTCAAGATTAAAAAGGCTTTTTCAGGAGTCCAGTCTGACCCCAAAAAGGGGTTATCCTGTACCTAAAATTTTTTCCATTTCTATCCCTAAAAACGGTGCAGTCTGATGATTAAATTCTTCCATCTCTATCCCTCTACTGAAAGGCAACTTTTAGGGTACCCACATCGTTTGAACGTCCTGTACGCAGAAAATTAATTACCCTTTGAGAAGAGATTTGAAGATACACTTTGTTTACCTTGTCCGTGAACTGTCACCCGCTTTAGCGACATGGGATTGGGACCTGCCAGGCGTTGCTGAGTAAAGTGCTTGTCGTTTATCCACTCGGGCTTATTGTCGACGAAGGCTTCATATCGTGATGGCAGCCGAGCATACTCCTAATGGTAACAAATATCAAAGTCTATTTGCTGTCTGATTATTGGGCCGCCGGCACAGCCCAATTAAAAATTAGTTTTCGTCGTCTCCGTCAAAGAGGCAAAAGGGACCTTACGAAACTGCGACGGCGACGGCGACGGCGACGGCAACGGCAACGGCAGCGTCAAAGAGCAATAGGTTTAATAAGCCAAAAAGCAACTTTGCTCGTGCATCACGCATCACATTTTTTTTGTACATACAACGTGAAATGGCCGTCCTTTTTGAGGACGGGAACTACAATTCTGTGTCTGAAATGACCAAATTTTCTTCAGCTCCAACATAAATTTTTTTTTTTTGAGGACTGGGGAACTTGGGATAATCGCGAAATGGTTTAAAAGAATGCGGAGTCTATTTTTCAGCGACGTTTTCATGGACGTCGGCGTTGTCGGATCGAAAGATCCCTAAAATATCGGACGGATAATCAGGGAGGAGGGATAGGAGTAGTTATGCACTCAGCATGCAAAAAGTGAGATAAGCATAATACCTTCCAAAATATATTAGACGACTACAAAGTGTAGCCCAATGTACGGCTACTGTAGGCGTCTATTTTAAATCTTTTGAATTATCCGACACGTTATCTTGCTTTGCAAGTTTCATTGGGATTTAAGTACACCAGTGTAGAAACTGAGATAAACAAAAAAATGTCAAGCATGAAGAAGAGACAAAATTTCCACCCGGTACTTGTACGAGAAAAAATAGCACCAGGAAAACAGCCGACATTTCGCGACGCTACCAGACGTATGTTATAATAATAGATCGACGTTTACTTTGTAATAGAAAGAAAAACAAAAAAAAAAACAAAAAAAAAACAAGCCTTTCCTATTTCTCATCCGTAAATAGACGGGGACATCATTTAGTAAACCGCTCTAATTTTGTAATTCAAGGTTAAGAAAGAAACTTAGGAAACTCATTTAAAAGTGGATTTCAGTTTTCTATGGCGTACATTTGCGGACAAAAATAATTGAAAATAAAATACAATTTGAAGTTCAAAAATTAGAATATCCATGTCGAAATCTCGTCATATGAATTTGAAATCGCAATGAACGCAGTCGAAATAGCATCATTCGAACTTGAAGTTACTACTTTGAACAAGTTGAAACTATAAAGGGAAAACTCGACATCGCGGATGTTGAAGTTCAAATCACCATTCCAACTGAAATGCAAATTACATGATTTGAACTTCAATTTACCTTCTCCACTCTAATAAGCTACTTAATCATCAACAATGCAACCATAATCTCCCACAAAATTCCAAATGAAACCTTTAATTTGAACTTAAAGTCACGTCACATATTCGAATTCGAATAACCAAAATTTCAATTCGAAAGGAAGCGGAAGTAAAAATACACAGGAATCGGAATCTGACTTAAGGTTTTATGCAGTTGAACTCGGTCTTTGAATAACAAAACAATATACTTACGCCAATTGCAGGTTCTAGAGCCGACTGAAAAAACTCTGACAACTTCAGATATTCTGATAGTTCCGTGATTTCCTGACCAGCGGTTATATTTCTGTACAAGGCAGCGGATTTCCTACTTGCTTCCGTGGTTTGAAGATATGCCGAAGCGTAGTATCTTATAAAGGGATCTTGCACAGCAATAGCTCCCAGCTGCTCAGAGGTCATGTTCAGTAAGGCAAAGCCATGTAAATCTGGATCATGTTTCAAGGTCCAGATCTTCTTGTTCTGATTTAAGGCAGCATTTCTCGACACTTTACAGGCAGGACTGGCGTGCTGGAGAAGGGATACTTCACATGGCGTCGCTGATACATACCTTGGTGAAATTAAGAAGTTGTTTGTCAGTGTAATGCAAAATAGCCAAAGTTATTCAATGTAGTTTGGATACTGAAGGGAAATAATTCGAATAGACTGAAATAAACCTTATACAATTTTCGCAGTAATATCGGAAAATGAATTATATTCAACAACACATGTGTTCAAATTTTTCTCAAGATTGAAACAGTGAGCAGCACCACTACGAACTTTTGGTGAGATTTCAGTGCAGCCCCATAGCAATCTCATACTGTTTCACATGAATGGAGTCGAAACAACTATGCATAATAAATGGAGCTTAACGGGCAGATTCTAAGCCAATTGAATATCCCTGTACATATTCCTTTGACCGAACTGAGATGATTTTACATTGAAGAAAAAAAAACTTAACAGTTTTCAAAAGTTCATCTCTATGTTTGTAGCTTCAAATTTAATGCCCAGGACATTTGAAATCTTATTATCCGTCTCTAGCCTGCATAACATAATAGCAGGCGATTTATGAGGCGAACGCGGCATTTTGGGCGAAGTGCGAAACGAGTGCGGTGCACGAGACGAGGGGAGGAGAAAAATAAAGCGCCTGTTACCAGTCCATTGTTCTGACTCTCCCACGTTCACTGCATGAACGTTGCGTTCCGGTTGGTTTAATTGCTGAACGCGTTGTTTTGGCATATTTGTCTGGCCTGTTTCCCTTGAACAAAATAACCGTTACGTTACGTATTCATGTTCTTTTGACGATGCTGTTCGAGAAGCGTTCCGGTTATTTCCAAATGTTCCAGAAACAAAAGAAAAACAAAACAAATGTTTAAATTTATTGCTTAAGAGGAAAGATTTTCTCGGATGGCTTCCAACTAGGTCAGGAAAAAGCCTGATTTACTAACTTTAAATTAGCTACGATCGCATCGCAGCGATCATAGCGATCATATGGAAACCACTTTCCAGCGATCGCAGTACTACTACTTGTGGGCGCAGGTGGGCGGAAGAGCCAGAACAATGGACTGGTAACAGGCGCTTTATTTTTCTCCTCCCTTCGTTTTTCGCTTCGCACTCATTTCGCGCTTCGTGCAAAATGCTGCGTTCGCCTCGCTTGGCTCATAAAGCGCCTCAGTTATGCAGGCTAACCTGTCCTTGGCATAAGTTTTTTTCTTGTTTTTTGTTTTTTTGAATCCGTTGGCACTTTCCAAACGTCGAGTAGAGACGGTCAGGAAAAAAAAATAATAACGTCGTCGTCCCATAAATTAAACACACAAATTAAATTATGAACTGATTTCAAAGCAGACGCAAAATAAAATTGCGTGTTTATTCAAAGTTTATTTTAAGCCTGAATTCATTTTTTCTAATTATCCTTGGCTTTCTAATATTTCCGAGAAAAATGGGGCTGAAAACTTAGACGTGTTCTGTCAGATATATCCGACCATAATCCAGTTCGGTTACGAGATTTAACTGACCAATCAGGTATTTTGGAGCTTTGAAAGAGCCTCTTCAAAAGTAGCCTGGGAACGCAGACGTATTTTTGGTCGCCGCTTCTCTCCATGCGCTAAGTAACTTTTCGGTTGGAGAGAAGCGGCGACCATAAATATGTCTGCGTTCCCAAGTTGCTTCGAAGGTATTGGAGAGAAATTTTCATCATTTTCGTCGAGTGACAATATCAATCATAGAATGTCTGTAATTTTTCTCCTTTAACATTGGCGCCAAAGACTTTGAATAAACATTTTATTTCATGTGTAGATAGAGTAACCTGTAGAATTCCACAAAGTTCAATCAACGTCCTACAAAAATGCATTAAGCTCAATACCACTGGGTTGTTTGCAGATGATTCTAGAATGACAGCCACTAATTAATCTCAATCGTAAAAGCAGGCGTGTCAATGAGCCTGAGAGAAATTCAGTGAGTATATGTTTTAGATAACCTGTGAAGCCCTACATAGTCCACTCAACAACGAGCTAACTGAAGAAAAATTATTATGCCAAGATTTATTATTGATCTTGAGGGCAGGTAAGTGACACTACATTACTCTACGAAAACTTTAACACGGTTTATATTGTATATTGCTGGTAAGGAGAGGAGGAAAATAAAGCGCCTGTTACCAGCCCATTGTTCTGGCTCTTCCCACGTTCACCACATGAATGTTGCGTTCCAATTGGTTGATTGATGACTCGTTGTTCTGGCGAGATTCTGGCATGTTTGTGTGAAACAAAATGGCCGTCACGCAGTCATATTCTTTTGACGATGCTGTTCGAGAAGCTTTCGTTTATTTCCAAATGTTCCAGAAATAAAGGAAAAACAAAAGAGGAAAGATGTTCTTGGATTGCTTCCAACTAGGTTTGATAAAGTAGCAAATTACTAACTTTTCGAAATTAAGTGTTGACAGGCCAAACACTACTCATAAGCTCCTGATAATGTAAAACGCATGACCATGGAATTTGTTTGAACAACAGGTTTTCCCTCTTACTTCCTCGCCGCTGTTGCCGAACTGGACATAAACTAGACTGACTGAGCAAATCTTACTTTATTAATTTTGCCGCACCGAGTCTTACATTATTGAAGGTGACTTTTGCCAGTAGTTGTTATTCCTGTGGTTTTATGCTGCTGTCGGTGTTTGTGGTAGCCAGAAAGGTGAAAATTTTCGAGTAATAGATCTTGTTTTCGTTGGTCCTTTTAACATCACCGCCGTTATTCAGTACTTGTGGGCGAAGGTGGGCGGAAGAGGAGAAAAAAGGACTGGTAACAGACTCTTTATTTTTCTCCTCCTTTCGTCTTGCGCTTCGCCCTCGTTTCGCGCTCCTCTCAAAATGCCGCATTCGCATTGCTTGGTTCATAAAGCGCCTGCTATGCAGGCTACTGTAAAGGAAAATTATTATGAGAATACCTAGGAACATACTTAGGGTAAAACCAAGGAAGCCATACCTCAGGGTTGTTATCAACAACAACAGAAAAAGCTGTAGATTCAAACTCATAGTCCAAGCTATAGGACTTACTGATTAACTAGAACTGATCAGCGAGAGTGGCTTACTGATGGCTTGAGCGATGCTCAGAAGCTTGCGCAGAACGTTTTTCAGCCCTGAAGACCAACATTGACGTCACGCAGTCTCCAGACCATCGCGCGGCAATTTTAGAAACGTTTTCGTGAAGTCTTTGGAAATGCTCGGATTTTGATCTTTTATCTTTTTATAAAGGCTTGGGGAAAAATCTTTACCCAAATCTCATTTAGGATGATTCTTTTTAGTGTTTAGTGAAGGTAAAGCGACAAAGAAAATATTTCAATTTTTTGGTTCATTTGACCTTTGAAGCTGAAATGTTGTTTCAGGTTGATTAAACTCTTGGTGGCCTAATGCAATACTCTCTAAGGCGTCAACTGACCCGTGTTGCTTTCAACAAAGAGTAGAGGGCTTAGGACAGCGCTGATTTTAAACCACACAACAACAGTTTTAAGAACCTTTTTGCATATGAATACATCTGATATTGTATTGTATTTTTTTGTATTGTATTTTATTTTTACTCCATCCTATAGATAATACAACAGTTGTACAATATCAATTGGTACAAAGTTGGTTAAACTACGTGTACATAATAATAATTATAATACTAACAGAAGAAAATTAGAATGGAGAAGGGCACATTATAATAAAACTAATCATGACCCTTTAACAAGACTGACTTTATTCTTTTGTAGTTTTGTTATTCATTAATTTCCCTAAAAGCAATGTTGTTGTGTATTCAAAAGAAAGCCTGATCCCTGGACGTTTGTGGGAAGCAACATTGAATTGGGGGAAGGGGTTTTCTTTCCGCAAAGGCGTCGTTTTGGAACTAGTTTTATTGCGTAGGAAAGTGGACATGATGGGGAAAACTTTCTCAAGTAGTTTTGTCCGGGATTGTGGATGCATTTCTGCAGCTGTGGACATTCAAAGCTATTACTGATATCAATGATGATTTAGCTTATGTCTCTGGATGGAAATCTCATGATTATTTCGAATAGTTATGCACTCAAACTAAGCTAAATTTTTGTGTCCCTTACTAATAATTTTTGTTTATACGAGGTAAAATAGGACGCCTCTGTCAGCTTTAGTAACTGAGACGCTTCTAATGTGAGACGCTTGCTAAATATGTATTACCCTATTGCGAGTTTATGGATTTGTTGCTAGCATAATTAAAAAGGTTGTAATCTCAAATCTGCTTGCACTTAAGCATCAAGATTAAGATCTCCTTTATTATTTTTTTAATACCAAAGTCACAATTATGTTTTGATATATCCTAAATACTTTACAAAGCTTTTCTGCATCCCAGAAATATTTGCCCCCTCCCAATTTTAATCGTAATTATACTTTTGAGAGATGCAATAGGTGAAATTCAATCATGAGATCAGTTTTGCCTAATTGTTTCAGAAAAATGAATATGAAGAATTATACAACAACAACAACAACAAAACAAGAAAATGTAGACAAAAGACATTGCATTATTAATATCAGTTGACTGCAAGTTTGCATAACTAACACAACATTAACCGTGAGCGGCGTTTGAAAACAACCCATTATAATTGATTGGCCTATGAACTTCATCCGAGAGTGGGGAGCACTAGGCGAGTTAAACAACAAGGGGGTGGTTGCAACTTCGCTGGGTTCATTCTTCTATTTTACATTATTTTTAAGTTCATTTTTTGCCTTTTATATATCTGGAAATTTTAAACGCTAGAATTATATGGTGAACAAGGCTCTCTGCCCACATCATTCAGAATGGCGGCCAGACTACTATCGATTTCAAGAGAAATTCAGATTTTTTTGCCACAAGTTAGTGATACTTTAATACGCATAAGATATTTATGCGTGCTTTCTAAGCACACACTGAAGTGAGATTAACTAAGTAAAATTTTAACAGCCACATACTAAAAAACATAGATTACGGCTTAGAATTATTTTGAAGAAAAGCAACATGAAGAAGCGTGCTCGACGGGATTTTACTTTCAATCTTCATGACCTGCGAAGAATAGTTAGAAGCAAACACAGCTAGAGGAATGGAAATTAAAACACCTAAGAAAGACAGCT